TCCGTCCAAACAAACATGGCCTAACAGTATATGAACTGAATTGATTATCCTTTGTGCCTCTTAACTCTGCTACAAGTAAAACCTTAAAACCCTAAACTCTATAATTTTGTCAGTTTTCTTTTGAAAATAAATAAAAATAAAAGCAAAGAAATATATTTGGTAATAAGTTGCCGAGGGGCGGTGGCTGGCGGTGTGGAGTGGTGCTGGATTGGCGGGGCTATTCTGAGTGTCACGAGAAGGTGGGCCTAAGGTTGGCCGGAGTGGTATGGAAGGCGAATGAAAGAAAGAGTGAAAACTGTTTTCAAAACAAGCGAAAACATCTTCTTTTTTTCTTTTTTTTTCACGTTTCCAATAAATTTGAAAATTTTGGAATTGGTTCCACTTTTATGAAAAACAATATACTAAATAAGTTTTCATTTTTTAATTTCTAAAAAAATGAAAACAAAAATGAAAGCATTAACAAACGACCCTTTGTGTTTGAGAAAAAAAAAATTAGAAATTTGTTTGAAAAAATGAAAATTAGTTTGATAAAAATTAATATAAAAAATATAATTTAAAAATTTTAAAAATTATTTATAAGATAAAATTATATAAAAATGACAAGTATTTTTTTATTTATTTCACCAAGTTAATTTTTAGTTTTTAGAAAAAAAATTAAAATAAGTTTTTGAAAACCAAACCAAACACAGCCCAAAATTGTCTTTGCCTAGCAAGGTAATTGAAAAAGAAAAGAATCCTATTTTGCTCTCAAAATTACTATTGAGTCCTATCAAGTTTTAATATTATCCTAAAATGTTCCCAAAAAGTTCATTCCTCCATAATGATACTTTTTGTCTTAATTTTACCCTTCTTATTTAATATGAACAATAATTTTATAAACAATTTAAACTTATTTAAAATTAAAAATTTTAATTGTAAAAATTATTTTTATATTAAAAAATCATAAATAGCAATTGCATCGAAACAATTATAGTATAAAATGCATCATTTTTTGGGAAAAATTGGTCTAAGATCCCTCTCCCACTTTTCGTAATGAAAGAGATCCACAAAATTATTTTTTGATGTCTAAGATCCCTAAAGATATATCAGAGAAATTTGACTCTTTGTCTCTACTCTACTCTCTCTCTCTCTCTTCTCCTCTCACCCACTGTCTTCCAGATCCAAGGCAACCAGGTTTGCTCTTCCACCCTCCTCTATGACCTCTTCCTCAACAGCTTCTCCTCCGACTTCTCCCTCCGCTCCGCCACCGTCGCAGACCTCCGAGTCGCCCGGATCCGCGACCCGGCCTGCCTTTCCTTCTCCAATGGCGCACTCTAGCAACCTCTCCTGCGACGGAGACAGCATTTGCATGATCTGCAAGAAGAAGTCAGCGGAGGATGAGACCATCACCGAGAGAGTGAGGGAGCTTGTGTGTTGCTGTGTGTGTATCTCTTTTCTTTTCTTTTTTTTTTACACCAACAACCACAAGCACAGTCTAGAACCCCGAAAGAGAGAGAGAGATCAGGTTGAGAGAGAGAGAGCAGTTGCAGTGTATACGAGAGAGAGAGAGGGTGATCAATTGTCTATGTGGGCATCAAATTGTCATTCATGGAAAAACAAGAGAGAGGTTGGTCATGTATAGAGAGAAAAGTTGCAGAGAGAGAGACCCAGCTAGAGAGAGATGGAGATGGGCTTAGTGGCTAATTGAACATATTTCTCCTGAACATATTTCTTAAGTTTGTCCATTTTTTGAGTATCTTTTTTTGAATTTCTCTGGGTTTTTGTGATTTTCTCTGAAAACTTATCAGTGAATTTCTCTGAATTTTTGTGATTTTCTCTGGGAATTTATCAGTGAATTTCTCTGAGTTTTGCTCAAGATTGTCCTCCTTATTGTGCCTCATACTGTTGATTTTAGCTTTTTTATGCCAAATTGCGGCTTTGCGAACATTTTCTCTGGACAAGTTACAATATTGGATGAAGAGTGCTTCTGGCATTAGCAGCCTGTCTCATTTTCTTTCCAAGGAAACAATAGATCATTTTAATACAGTGATAAAGCCTGTGGTGTATCTCTCAATGTTCTATTCCTTCAGCAACCCCAGATCTTCTTTTGTTGATAATTACATTGTATTGTTGTGCCTCGTGTACTGTGTTACTCGCATAGGTTATGCACTGTCCATCTTCCTTGGACCTGGTCCTGCCCAACTGGTGAGCAATAACATTTTACATTGAAAGCTCATCAGCTTTTCAATATGAGTTTCCATAAATTAGTTTTTATTTTTTGCTGACAATATACTTCCACTTTCTATAGTGTGCGGTGCTGATTCCAGTAGTTTTAGCTCTGATTTCAATTCAGACTGGAGAGAGTAAATTTGTGAAGAAACTAGCAAACTTGAACTATCCAAGATGGGCTTTGGAAGCATTTGTGATTGCAAATGCAGAAAGGTATGACACAACTTCCCTTTATCATGGCCAGATGCTACACCTTGTTCAGCATATGCTATTCTCATATTAAGTAACAATTTGTACATTTACGCACCAAAAAAAAAATTTGTCTCTTAAATCCAAAATCAGATTGAATTTTCTCCGGATTGTGTGATTTTTCTCTTGGTGTGTGAAATTTCTCTGGACTATGAATTTTTTCCAGATGTGTGAATTTTTTCTGGACTGTGAATTTGCTTTAGACATATGAATTTTCTCTGTGCTGCAATTCATAGTTTTCACACCTGTGTTGACAGGTAACAAAAATACCCAGCAGAGAGTTCGGAAAAGGGTGATGATTTTCGCATGAAAGATTGGAGGAAGGAATGGATTAAGCTTACAAATGATTGGCAAAGCAGTAGGAATTTGTATCCGGTGCACAGCAATGGAGATGCTCTCGACACATCCAAGTGGCTTTACAACAAATACTTGAAGGATCCAGACACGTACAGAGAGTTATTGAGACAGTGAGCGATTCGAGAGAAAGTATGTATATAATATTGTACTGTTGTCTTTCTTCCTCACCTTTGAGAAGCAAGGAAGTGAGTTGAGGTAGGGGAATTCTTATGTTCAAAAAAAAAAGGACAGAAATTTACAGTGGAAAGTTTAGGGAAGTCCAGAGAAATTCTTCCCAGAATTTCTCTGGACCAATTTTCTCTGACTTGAATTTTCTCTGGATTGATGTTGAGGGACCTTAGACATCATGAAAATATTTGATGTCCTTTATACTATAAAATCATAATATCAAGGACTTTAAAAAAAATACCCCCATTTTTTGTTATTTCAAATTATGAATTTTTTTAATGTGAACAATCTGAAAGAGCTAAATTCTATTAAAATTTCAAAAAATTGTGAAAATAATATTATGACAAATTCATATATTTCTCAATGTACGAAATAGTTAATGAATCTTATATTTATGCTTTTGTTTATAAAAATTTATTTACTTTCAACAATTAAAAATTATTTTGTTATAAAATTTTATTGAATAATTAAAATTTATATTGAAATTTTATATAACTCAATTGTAATTTTCAAAACAAAATAGAACTTACTTATAATTTTTTATTGTGATTTATGATTTTTTTTAATATAGTATAATACTTTTACTTAGATTCAAAATATTTATAAAATTGTTGTTCATATTAAATTAGGGATAAAATATGATAGGCACGACCCGAGAAGGCCCAGCCCACGGCCCAAGGTCCAGCTCACGGCCCAGGTAAACTCAACCCAACCCTATCCTAAGCCTTCCAAGCAGTAGTGGTTAAAGCTCAGTAGCTTTGAGAAACCAATGCTAGGTCAAGATCAATAGCGTTCAAACACTCTGTCAGACATAAAATTAGCCACATAAGTAGACAAAAATCCTGCAAAGTTATTACACCTACACATCAGCCATTTAATAAGGCCACCATAGCATTAAATGCAACAGGACCCTTCATGCCAAAGTATGCAGAATCACCATGAACGATGTTAACTAGGCTATAGACTTTCGGCCAACAAGATAGCTCAGAATGGACAAGAAAATGGTAAGCAAGGGATATAAGGAAGCTTTCAAGGTACGTTTGTGGGGGGATAGAGTATTCTTCTTCTTTTTCTTCCTCATGCAAAAAACCATTGTCTATCATTAGCTCTCTACCCTGACTTAACTTGATCTTCAGAGTGTCCGTTGGGGGACTACCCCCCTCAGGGCCTTTTTGCAATAACACATCGAGGATTCGATTACCAGCAGACTCGTTGAAGGCGTGAGCAAGTCTGACCCATGCACCGGTGACCGTATTACATCATCAAAATATATCATTATGGAGGAATGAACTTGTTGGCAATATTTTAGGACAAATAAGACTTACTTGTCCATATTGAAACTTGATAGGATTGAATAGTAAACTTAATAGCAAAATAGAACTTATTGGTAATTTTTCCAAAAAATAATTTTATTCAAAAAACAGTGCACAAGACTAATCATAGATCACAAACTGCCCATCAAGCTCTGAATTTGTTTCAACAAAGATGGAAAAAAACCATCCTACATCATTTATTTACCATGCTTAGAAATTCTTCCAAGCTACTTCTTATGCTGCAGATCTTTAAACCACTTGTTTTCCGCACTACCCTACCAGGAAATAACCTCAAAAATGGTAATGAGATTTCTTTCCAAATAAGAAATCATACAGTAGATAAGTCTTCAATGGCAAAGGATTTTTTTAATTTTGTCGGCTAAAATTCACAAAAAGACAAAATTTACTAAAATAGTCAATAAAACAAAATATCACATCAAATCCATAATCATTTTATTTTTTCTCATAAAAACATCACATACAACTAAAAAAAAATCTAACTCTCTTCTCAAATTCAAATTTTAACCTATTAAAATAGTCAAAAACTAAAATAACCTACTAAAATAGCTAACTTCTCAAATGAGGTAAGTTTTCCCTTTTTTAGTAACTACCTGTTAATTAAAATTTTGTCAGTTTCAGGGCAATTCACATCACAGTTGTGCTAGTTGTTTACGTGACAACAACAACAGGATTTCACAATAAAAGTTCATTGAAAGAATTCAAATGGTTATATTAAAAGCAAAAACGCATTGCTAGAAATGCAAGTACAATAAAATCGCTACAGTTATGTAAAGGGGAAACAAAAAGAGCCCTTGGAAGTAAATGGCTTGCACAGGGCAATCACAGAAATAAAAAGTGATCCACACACCTTTATGAATTGTTAATGGCTTCAGTTTTTATTATCAATGTTATATCAAGAAAGAATGATTAGCAACACTACGTGATTGCACAGTACGAAAAGAGTTTACTTTACTCTATCAGAGTTCAAGCTTCGAGCCACCCAACTGACTGAACAAGATGGCCATATCCATGCCTTGCACCATTGTAGGCACAGCTGTGTCATATGGACATTCTGTAGAAAAGCCAAGCTTTCCAGATTTTTGAACTTTCTTTATGCAGGTCTTGAACTTCTCATGGCACTTTATACTTATCAAACCTGAAATGTTAAAATTACAAAATTTTATAATCATGTGAAAGAAATGATTGAAGTGTCAGAATCATTTCACCATCACAAGCATTTGCAAACCAAAAATATGGTTAATTCCACTTTGCCTCCCTCAACTATCATTGAATATCACCTTACCCCACTCAATTTTGACCCCCCTTCTAGAGGAGTGAAAGTGAAGAAATTTTGATAGTTGAAGTTGAGGGGTTTAAATGTACAGTTTTAAAGTTGAGGTGAATAAGATTGTTTTAGTGATGGTTGAGGGGGATAAAGTGTAATTAACTCTCAACAATATAACAGTGACGGACAGTGCCGGCCGTGGGCATGGGCCAACAAGGCCATGGCCTAGGGCCCTCAAAATAGACCCAAAAAAGGGACTCCTTTTTATTATAATTTAGTATAATATATTAGATATATTTTAAGTTTTAAAAAAAATTAAAGAAAGCTCAAACTAACTTAAAATAAATTGACTCATTAAAAAATTAAAAAGCCCATTCAAAGAAATTAATATTGTTATCCATTGAAAATAGACCCAAAAAAGGGTCCTCCTATTATAGTTTATTGTAATATATTAGGTATGTTTTAAATCCAAAAAAAAATTAAGGAAGACCTAAACTAACTTAAAATAAATTGACCTATTAAAAAAAAATTGAAAGGCCCATTTAAAATATTTGGCATTGTTATCCATTGAAAATAATTTTGTAAAAAAACTAGATTATGCAAGTATGATTGATTTATTTGTTTATAAAAATGCAAGAAGAGCGAGGATCAAGCAACACTTATTAATTGTTGTAATGTAATACTAAGTATTTTTTGTGATTTTGACACAATTTTTGTCTTTTATCTTCATTTTTTTTTTCATTTTTTTCATTTTTTTCATTCAATGAAAAAAAAAATATGAAGGGCCTCAAAAATTTATTAGTTGATTATTGACTTTGGGCCGCGGAAATCTCAGGGCCGGACCTGGTGACGGAAAAAAATTGTAGAAACACATGGTCTGTGCCTTCAGCTCTAACTCATGGTGCCATAACACTGGGTTGTGCTGCCATATACAAGACCATGCTTACTCATCCTATAATAAATAGATGCATCAATTCATTATTATTTTCACTTTTCGTCGTATTTGTAATTTATATTCATCTCGTCTCATAATTTGCAAGTACTTGATCATTCAAAGCAGCGCACTAGAAAAGGGAGTTCAAATATGAAATTCATTCATTTCAAGAGCAAACTGCTTCACTTTCCATTGTTTCACTGCTTTTGTACTGAACAAATATCTAAAATCCATCAATGGTTCAAATCTCATGTTTCTCAAAATAGCATGTTTCTAATCCAACTGAAATCTGGAAAAAGGAAAATGTAAAAATAAATTTATTGAGCAATGAACATAAACACCCACTAAAGTCTTCCTATCGACTTTTGTGTGCTCTGGTCTCGACAAAAAGGTACTAACGGTATTAATAATTTGGAGTCTGTGTTCATATCCTTCAATTAACTGAACAAATTGAATGAAAACTCCATTTATAATCCAACTGAAATCTGATAAATGAAAAAGTAAATATAATTGTAAATTTATCGAGCATAAAGACCCACTAAAGCCTCTCTCTTGGTCTTCTGTGCTTATTTCTTGACAAAAAGGCACTAATTGTAGTAATCATTTGGAGTATGGATTCATACACTCGATTTAAACGATAAATGAAAACCCATAAGCTAAATTGATCACTTAAGCATCGCACCACCTGAAATCTTTAACATAATTGGGAAATGAGCAAACAAAAATGCACCAATCACCCATGAAACAGTGATCCCATCTCATTCACAATAATTCCTCAGGTGGCCCAAACCTCCATGAAACAAAGCACCAATCTATTTTCAGATTAAAATTATTTACCCAAAACAGTTTTAAACCAACTCTAATAAAAACTTCCAATTTCATGGGGAAAAGGGAAAAACAAAACAAAACTTGCAATCACTATAACATGAAATCTAACATGTAAAGTTTCAAACATATATTTATATACCTGCATTCCAATTCTCCAAGGTCATCAATTTGCATAAAAACATAGCAAAAAATTCGGTTTTATTTAATTTAATTTGAAGGAGTGGTGGTTAGGTTACCTTTTTTCTCAACACATTCGTCGTGAATCTTGCAACAAGCGTCGAGATCATCGCAGGGCTTCTCTCCAGGACATCCAGTCCACCCTACTCCGCAATACTTCCCGTACCTAATTCCAATAGCTAATTACACAAAATCAAAAAAAAAATCAAAACCTAAACACAAATATATATATATATATATATATGAAAAGAAAGAAATAGATAAATTTAGGAAGAGAGAGATTCATACTATTACAGTTCTCTGCAACGCATGTTCTGCTGCATCGAACCTGTCATTCGGAGGAATCAAAACAGAGACATTAGAGAGAGAGAGAGAGAGAGAGGAAATTGAGATCTGAATTTGATATACAGAATTGAGGAAAAGTGAATGGAACCTGAGAATCGTTGGAGGATTGAGCGATCTCGAAGAGGAAGAGGAGGAAGAATGTTGCTGCCACGACGACACGTGCCGACGTGCCGCACTGCATTCTCTGTCTGTCTGGATTTTCCTTTCTGACCGATGAAGAGAAGAGAGAAGGAAGAAAAACGGGAATGAGAAAAGAGAAGAGACAAGAGAGAAGAGGTCTTGTTCTTTGTTCAAAAAAGAAGTGGTCTTGTTCTTCCTCTTCCTTCTTGTCCTCGTCAAAACAAATACTACTGCCAAATTTCCCACTCTCTTTCCATTTTTTTTTTTTTTTTTTGGGAACGTGGTGCATAAGTACATTTTTGATTTTTTGATTAAAAAAATAGAAAAAAAAATTATATGTTTTAAAATAATTTTTTAACTTTTTACGTAAAAAATGTGTAATAAAATTAATGTGACCATTTTACCCTTATTGATTTTTTTGACTATTAAATAATTAAATTTAAAGGATAAAATAATAATTTTATTCTCTGAGCTTTCTCCATAAACTTTCTCTAAATAGTATGAATTTTTTAACTTTTTTAGATAACTTTCGGCCTTTTAATTTTCGTAGGTTATCCCCCACATGTTATAACGTTTTATTTTGACAATAGAAAAAAGTCAACTTATTAATTTTAACTTATTTAAATTCTATCACTTCTTTATATTTTTTGATACTTTTTTTCTCAAAATAATCCAACGCTTGTGGTGGTTATGATTTATTGGGATATTACTTATGACTTAATTATAAACATTGCAATGTTATTTATGATTCATTGTAATGTTCGGTATAACATTAATTTGATTATGATCTAAGCTTCTTTGTTTGTAACTTATGTGGGGTTTAGTTATAACTCTTTTTATATTATTATTATTATAATTATAACTCACATAAGATTGAATTATGATATTTGTAAGAATCAAACTTATAAATGTCATAACTTACTTATAGTACATGCTCTTCTGAGGATGTTTACCATAACATTATCTTTTTTTTAGAGGTTATTATAGAATTATTCACACTAAAATATGATTAACTATTAACTAATATCAATTTATCTTTTTTATTTATGAATCTATATGTTTTAACTCCCTCAATTATAATAGTATATCACTTTCATCCCTACATACTATCCCTTTAAAAAAAGTGTATATATAATTTTCATAGTTGATAATGTCAACCTATATAAATTCATAGATGAGGAATAAATTAATATTCAAAATAATTAAGGGTCTAGGTCTCGTTTGGAAACTTTTTATTTTAATCAAAAAGTCAAAAAATCACTAAATTAATCAAAAAGTCAACAATTCATACCAAAAAATTAAATATTCTCTTTTCTCTCTATTTTTTGCACATCTTTTCGTAAAAAGTCAAAAAGTCATCCCAAACATATTAGTTTTTTTTAGCTCATATTTTAGTCAAATAGCTAAAAAGTTACTAAATTAGCTTGTTCCCAAACGAAGCCTTAGTATAATTAACCTGTTGTTATATCAGCATACAGAATAGCTCTTTTATCTAATTAGGTTTTTTCATTATAAATGATTAGACCTTAGTTTTAAGAAATAGATATAAAATAGGCTCTTTCATCTTATTTAGGTTTTTTATTATACCTTAGTTTAACTTATTTCTTAAATTAAGTTAAAGCGTAATTGTTGCTAATCACATTTTTAATCAATATGAAAGACCGATCATTGTTTTTTTCAAGCAGTTACATTCAAAGCAGAAAGCGTGAATGACGACAATCACGCTTTTAACTAAATTTAACATCCACATTTGAAAAGTAGGTTAGCTTTTTTATTTTTGTTTTGTTTTGTTTTTTTAATTATTTTAACTTGGGACTAAAAAGTCTCATTTGGAAAGGACTTTTGATTTTTTTGACTTTTTTGTGAGAAGAAGAATATAATGATTATGAGTCGGATGTGATGTTTTCTCTTATTGAACTAAAAAATTATTTTATTTTTTGTGATCAAAATTGCCAAAAAAAGCCACAAACTTAGCTTCCCAAACAAAGCCAACTTCTGATCTAGATATTTAATTTTTAATCTTAAAGCACTTACAAAATAACCTAGAAGTCGGAGAACATACATGTAGATTGTTCAATTGGTGTATTAGACATAAAGAATTCTTCCGTATGCAATGAATATCGTATGCAACTCTACATAAAATTACATAATAAAATATAAACTTATATTTAATCTACGTATTTTTGTGAGATCACTTAAATAAATTTATAAAAATTTACATAATTTATGTAAAATTACATATGGTGTGCAATGCACACCGAAACATTTCCCACTAGGCATGGTTTGGTACAGTAGTAAAAGGAAAATTAGCATTTAATTTTTTTTTTTTTTTTTTTGCATTTAATAAATTTATTTTTGTTTTGGCTTAAAAAATTTGAGACTTCTAATTAGGCCAAGTTTGGCAACACCAAAATAATCCATCTTTTTATCTTTTTTCTATCACATCACCTCTCTACTTTTCTACACATCTTTTTATAAAAAGACAAAAAATATACTTATTTAGGTTATCCTAAACAACCCGGCCTTATTTCCCCCCGCCCCCAAACAATCAGTAGGATTAGAAACTGCATAACACTACAATAAGACTTTTTGGGATAACCTGACAGGTTTTGTTAAAGGGATTCAGCTACCAGTAGTCTTGGTTGGGGATTTTAATCAAATCGTATGTCATAAGGAAAGAAAGAGTTTTGGTAAACATAAGGATAAGTGTCATCTTCTTGATCTACCTAAGTTGGGTGTTGAGTTTACTTGGACCAACAATCGAAGAAAGGAGCTCCGGACTTATGAAAGATTGGATAGAGCTATGGCGTCAATGAGTTGGGTATCAAGATTTCCAATTCAAAGATCAGACCACAGGCCTTTAGTACTTAATACGGTTATGGGTGGGTATAGAAGGAATGGAAATGGAAAATTTGAAGCAATGTGGTTATTTGATGGGCAACGGAGGAGATTTTTTGCAAGGTTTGAGGTTTAACTGTAGAGGGATCTTTTGCTTTCAAGCTATTACAACGCCAATAGTGCTTCGTCATTTAAAAAATTGGCACTTCCAACCTATTAGATGTCTGGTTGCACAAATTAGGGAGACACAACAGAAATTAGAGCAAGTTTAATGTCGATTACGATCGGAAAAGGACTTTGTGCAGGACCAAGCACTACATTCACATCTGGATGTGTTACTGGAAAAGCAAGAAGTGTATTGGGCGCAACGAGCAAAGCAACGATGGATGTACTTGGGGTATAAGAAAACAAGGTTTTTTCATCAGTCGGCAACTTTTAGAGCTTGTAAGAAAAGGATTGGGTTTTTCAAGCTGGAGAATGGAACTTGCATTATGGACAAAGGGGGCATTGAGCAAGAATTCCTTCAGCGTTTCAAGAAGTTGTTTCTTTGTCCTCAGGATGCATCTTCTTCAACCCATCCACAGGTGCACTATGATTATCCTGATAATTTTCAATTTATAAAGATTCTGCAAAATCGTCTTTCAGAAGAATATTGGTCTTTGCTTGATGCCACTTTTTTGGATCATGAAATAAAAGATGCCATTTTTACCATGGGAGGGCTCAAAGCTTCTGGATCCGATGGTATGATAGTAGCCTTTTTTCAAAAGAATTGGAATATTGTGGGTGATAGTGTGATCAATAAGGCAAAAGCTTTTTTAAATTCGGGGATGGTGATTAAAGAATTGAACCAAAATTTTTTGGTGTTAATTCCTAAAAAGGCAGTACCTCAATGATTAATGACTATAGACCCATTAGTCTGTGTAATGTGGTCTATAAAATTATTGCTAAGGCTCTTGCTAATCGGTTGAGACGGGTTTTGTCATGTATGATTTCTTCAAGCCAAAATGCTTTTGTCCCAGGTAGAATTATTACTGACAACATCTTGTTAGCTCATGAGATGTTTCGTTTGATTAAAACAAGGAAAAAGGAGCATAAATCTGTTTTTGCGGTGAAACTTGATATGAATAAAGCCTATGATAGAGTTCGTTGGGATTTCTTGCTCATGGTAATTAGAAGATTTGGGTTTAGCGAACGATGGGTTAAGCTAATTGAACAATGTATATCGACTGTATCGTTTTCGGTTTTGGTCAATTCTAATAAATCTGAATGGTTTTTTTCCTTCCCATGGTTTGCGGCAAGGTGATCCATCATCGCCTTATCTTTTTATTCTAGTTATGCAAGCATTGTCTAAAGGTTGGCCAATTTAAACCAGCAAGGAATATGTCAGGGTATTGCGTTATCCAGGACTGCTCCTTTGATATCACATTTACTCTTTGCGGATGATTGTTTATTTTTTATGGATTTTAGGGCTGAGGAAGTGTGGTGTTTGAAATGGTTCTTGGATGTGTTTTGCCATCAATCAGGATTGAGGATTAATTTTCATAAATCGGCAATTATGGTAAGTCCGAATATGGGTGGATTACAGAGACGTTTTATTAGTGATTGTTTTCATATTAAGCTTGTGGAGACTATTGGAATTTATCTGGGTGTGTGCATAGAGACTAGTAGGAAGAAAGGGGATATGTTTGGTTGATTTTGGAGAGATTTCAGAAAAAAATTGCTTGGTTGGAAGAGAGGTTTACTGTCTTTTGCTGGTAGATGTGTGTTGGCTAATCACACACTCCCTTCAATTCCCAACTATTTATTGGTTGTATTCAAAGCTCCTAAGTATTTTGTGCAACAACTGAGAAGGGTAGTAAGGAATTTTATATGAAAAGGTAAGGATGGTTCGGGAATCCATTGGATGAGTTGGGACCTTTTGTGTAGGCCTAAATTGGAGGGGTTGGGTTTAAGAGATCCGAAACTGTTCAATTAGGCGCTTCTAGCCAAAACAGCTTGGAGGATTGTCACCCAACCGAATAATTTATGGAGTCAAGTTTTGAAGGCGAAATATTATAAGAAGGTGCAATTCCTAAATGTCAAGTCTTCATGGGGATGGAGTATTCTGTGGGGAAGAGATTTATTAAAAAAGGGTATTCGGTGGATTGTTGGGGATGGAAACTCAATTGACCCTTTTGAAGATCAGTGGATACCGAGAATGGATAATGAATTGGTTGGGTGTCACTTGGGGAAAGATTTAGGGACTTCAAGGTTGCTCATTTGATCGATTATGATAGAAAAGAAAGGCGGTAACCTTTAGTTCGTACCATTTTTCCTACAGCAATGGCAGTAAACATTCTTAATATTTACATTCCAAAATCGCAAGTCTTGGATAAGATTATTTGGGTGAAGTGTAAAAATGGGGAATATAGTGTAAAATCTGGGTATGCTGTTGGTAGCCAATGTTTCAATAGGTTAATTGATAGAGGACGAACGTGGGCTGATATGCATTGGAAGAAGCTTTGGTGCCTGAAAATTCCTGCAAAGTGGATTATGTTTTTATGGAAGTTAAGTCACCGGATTGTGTCAGTCAATGTAGCAATTCGGAAACGAGGAGTTAAGGTTGATTCAGTTTGTCCAGGGTGTAAAGAATATGATGAAACATTAGAACATTTGTGTTTTCAGTGTTCGTTATCCAAAAGAGTATGGTTTGGATCACAACTGGGTCTCAATTTTGACATTGGGCAGGAATAACGGGTAGAGGATTGGATCGATTTTTGGTTTCATAATGCGCCCGATGAGTGTGCTATTATAGAAGCAATCAAAATTTTATGGGGCATTTGGGTCCACAGAAATAGAGCTGTATTTGATAATGACATTATTGATCCCCTTTCCACTGTCCAATTGATTAACAATTTGAGAGTGGAAAATTTTCTTGATATGAATTTCAAAATTATGGCTAACAAGGAAATCAGAGAGGATTTGCATTCTTTTATAATGTCTAATGTTGTTTCATGGTGTGTAGATCTAGCATATGAAGTATTTTTGGTGGACGGCGCATGGTATCAAGAGACGGAAAAAACGGCTGCCGAGTGAGTGGTGGTCAACAGAAATGGATAGAAGATGGCATCTAGAGTATTCACATTCCAAGCTCATGAGGCTGAAGTCCGGGGCTGCATGGAGGTGCTTCAATGGTGCTACTCTCAAAATCTCAAACCAGTGCTTATTCAAACGTGTTAATGTAAATTGTGTAAATTACCACACCACCCACTCCACCTACCACCTCCACTACCACCTTCACCTACTACCATCTTCTCCTCTATATATAGGAATTGTAATATACAGATAAAAATCAATTAATACAAATCAATAATAATACATCAGTTATTTTACAAAACGGATTGCCAAGGGTTGATTAATAGTTTGAAATCATGTGTTGTTTCTCTAAAGCCCAACCAAGCACAGCGTTAACAGATGATATATGCAATGTAGGTAAGAAGATGGACTATGTCTGTATTAGGAAGGTCAACCGTTCTATTGTAAAGCCCGCTCATATGGCGGCAAAAGCTGCCTTACCAAATGGTAGCTAATTTTGTATGTTTTGTTGTTTTATATACTTCATCCGTCCCAAAATAATGATTCTTTTTGGAAAAGTCAATTTTTCTTGGTAGCACAGTTATTACACTATAAAAAAAATAATTTTTCAAAACTGCCCTTTGATAGTACATTTTTTTAGAAATATCAATGTCATAATTATACTTTTCATATTATTTTTGTATTTGATTTTTCAAAAGGAACAAATATTTTGAGACAATGAAAATAAAATAAGGGACTAATATTTTGAGACGGAGGGAGTATATTATACGTAGTTGATGTTTTCTCCAAACACCAAAAAAAAAAAAAAAAAAAAGACCTTGAACCTAGATATTAGGTTCGGAGTAATGCTACATATCATGAAAATAATCATGAAATATTCTTCACCGTTATATTACACATACAAGAAAACACCTAACACTATTCAAAGGATGAAAAATCTTCATGAAATATTTCATGATATTTTTTTCATAATCCCTAATATTATTCTTGGGTCTGATAAAAATGTATTTATATCCATGAGACTAACCCTTGGTTTTTAAATTACCACAAAAACAAAGGCTTAAAATTAATGAGTACATAAAATTTGTTTGTTTGTATATTTATTTGGTCAATTAATTGGTTTGTATTAAGATAGGGAGAAGCTTCCCTCCATATATAGTGGATTGAAGCGTGCTGTGAGGCTTGTGAGACTCATCATGAGTCCCGTTTCAATGATTTGAACCGTTCAATGTGTAAAACTCATCGAGTATTTTATATTTGTAAAAAATCATATTGATCAGATATCGATAGTCCCTTGATCAGAACACATTTTTGTTAACAATTTATTTTTAAAATCATATTTATCATTAACAAAAATGTGTTCCGATCAAAGAACTACCAATATCCAATCAACGTGATTTTTTACAAGTATAAAATACTCAACGAGCTCTATACATTAAACGGTTCGAATTATCAAAACGAAATCCGTAATAAACTGCACAAATCTAACAGTATTCTCCAATTGATTATGTGAATTGAAAAGAAGCCATACGCAACCTTATCCCTTTCATTTTACACTGGTCTAGAGTGAAGCCAATCTTCCCTGAAGCAGAGCGCCATTCAGAGCATCTTACAAGGTTGCACAGACACTGAGAGAACAAGAATCAATCAATTTCCACCAGAATCCAAAGGCATTCAAGGATTGCCATGCCAGACACGTCTAGCAGTAGAAAAGGTGTAATGGAAACCACCAAGACCTGGACAACTCTTTATTTTAGACACTATATAGCATCTCCCATATTAACATTTTTTTTTTTTATAGATTATATCACTTCTTTATTTTTTTACACATCTTTATATAAAAAGTCAAAAAAAAATACTTATTTAAATCATCTTAAACTCTCTTAGTCTAAGATCCAAAAAATTCCAAAAAAAAAAACCAAAAAACCAAAAAACTATACAAAAAAGTCAAAAATTTCATTTTCACTCTATTTTTTACACATTTTTTTTTTATAAAAAGTAAAAAATATCCCAAACATAGGCTTCGTTTGGCAAAAAAGTTCGAACTAAAAAAACAAAATAGACAAAATAAGCTAAATAAACCAATAAGACAAAATATTATATCAAAATCATAATTATTTCACTTTTTCTCTTATAAAAGTTAAAAAAAAAAAAAAAGGCAAAAAAACCAATCCAAACGAACTTTTTACTCTCAAGCTAAAAAAATCTTAACTTAAAAAAGCCAACTAAAAAAATCCCTAGCCAAACGACAACACACTAATTTTTTTTTTTAATCATCTCATATTTTGGAGAAGAAGAATTCATGTAGCCGACCCCATTTGATGAGACTTCAGGCTTGGTTTGGTTTAGTTTGGTTTACCTCATATTTTAGCTAAAAACCCAAATTCCATTTCAATTTTCTTCAACCTCCCAAGCATTCATATAGTTTTGAGACTCAAATTCATTGTATATGCTAACCCTAGATACAGCCTTAACACACTCCCCTAATACAATCATCCCTCTCTAACAAACAGTAAATACATTTGGAAAACTACAGGGAAAATGTCATATTCAGTGATAAACTTTGCTCAAAGTCCGTTCTCTCTCTAAAACAGTCTTTGAATGTATCTCATTCACGGATACATTAGACACAAATCAGCATCGCCCAAAACATGGAACAAAGATAGCAAGTCAACTACGAAAATGCAAATCACAACATGAAAATTCTTTGGATTTCATTAATGCGATTGGACTGAAAAGTTGATCCTCTATCACATCCAGTTAATGTCTATGAGATCAACAACCTAATCAACCTTAGATAGCTAATTTAATGGAGTGCAGACATTACGAGAGCACAACCAAAACTAACACCAATAGAAAATTGCAGCAGAACCATAACCATCACAAGTAGCAGTAGCTTCACAAAAAATAAAAAGAAATTACTAAACATGAGGATTATTGGGCAACCAGACCTTATCCATTGAATTCCTCAACTTCATAAAAATTTTAAAAAACGAAAAAACAAAATCTTGCATGTAGAGTGTCGGCGAATTAAATCACCTGAATGTTGACAGAAAGCTTACAAATATCAATCTCCCCCAAACACTTTTTCCCGAGTGGTTGTTCTCACGGATAGTAACCGGTGAATGTAAATCCCCTTCCCACAATCTCACCAGCACAAAACCATGCAAAGCACTCCAGCCCGAACAGAGCAGCAATACCAGCGTCCTCAACCTTCAGCTCATGCCTGTTCTTCCACATATTCTTGACGTAATCAAGTTCCTTCCAGAATGACTCATAACGGCCAGGAATACTGCAAGGAGTAATCATGTCAGATAAAAGATGAGGAGCAAACACATACATTCAAAGCAAAGTCACGCCAGTCATTTTACTATAAGATTTTGAGGAAAATATAATATATATATATATATACATATATTTGTGCTTCCAGCGGTGCCGTAAGTATAACCTAGACTCGGGATATGGCTGTTGGGTGCGGTTGCATATCTAGAGGTCAAACCTATCAAACCTTGTATTTAAGGGTACTCAAACTCTGGGAAAAAATGATCATATATATATTTTGATCTATTATGTAAGATAAAATAGTTACATAGTACCAAATAGGCATTTTACTCATTTTACAACAATACATCCACATCATGATAATGTTAAAATACAAATATAAAATAAGTGTCCGATTTTTTTGATCAAATATAAAGTGTCCGATGAAAAGGTATTGGACATATATCCCACACCTTTGTCCAAGTATCATGTGTCTAACACGAATATTTGATTTAGTTTGAAGTGTCCAAGTAACATGAAGTATAACAAGTGTCAACGGATAAGCTAACAGGTACGAGACAACATTCTGTTGACTAGCTGAAAATGCAGCCTCAAAGAATGGAGTGAAGATGATAAACCAAAACCTTTCCCAACAATCAAATTTCATGTAAAGCAGCTAAAAACATTTATTTTCTTCACATCTTTCTATTTCTATTTTTATTTTGAGGGCAAATTACACTAATAGTCTTTGTAGTTTGGGACTTGTGTCACTTTGGTCTATGACCTTTTAATTGTGATATATTTGATCCTAAATTTTGAATCTCATTCTAAATAAAGACAATTGAAGACACCGTTTCCTTTGAAAATAGAAAATCCTCAGTTTCAAGTGCAAAGTCATTAATTTGATAAAATATAAACTACTTTGATAAAAATAAATGTCAAAAAGACATTTTTGAATTTTCAAAAATTATTTCTACCCATCAAAGATAAAATTATATAAATATAATAAATCTTTTACATTTTTTAAATTTTTTTATCAAATTAATTTTTAATGTGTTAGGATGATAATCATGCAATGGGTGGTTTCTTTTGTTGATGTTTTTGGATCATTATCATGTAATATATAGTTGTTTTGTTGTTAACAAATATTTTCGGATGGTTTTCATGTAATGGATAATTATTTGGTTTTTAATATGTAATTGATATGTTTAATATATGAAATGTTTTTAATTTTGGATTTTTAATTTAATAAATTGGTTTAATAATGATATCAGAGTTGTCACCATGTTTGATTTGAGTTTTTAAGACTATTTTTAGAATTTGTTTTTTTAAAAAAAATAGAAACTAATTTAACAAAAATAAATATCAAAAAAAAATTAATTGATAGGACCGCATGGAGAATAATGATTCATATAGCCGACCCCATTTGATGAGACTTAAGGCTTGGTTTGGTTTGGTTTGGTTTGGTTTATTTATACCCTCCCAAAAGATAAAATTATATAAAAATGACGTGTTTTCTAATTTTTTCACCAATTTAACTTTTAGTTTGTCAAAAAAAATTTCTGAAAATAAATTCTACAAATCAAACTAAATACAATTTATAACCAAGAAAGCGCTAGCATTATTCATTAAAAAAAAAAGACCATTTCATTTCAAACAACATTCAAGTTAACCAACAAAAAATAAGTTGTATGACGACTTTGCCCTTGAAATGGCAAATTTTCCATTGTCAATGATTGTCCTTATTTGAAACGAGATTCAAAATTCAAGATCAAATATGTCATAATTGAAAGGTCAGGAACCAAAGTGACACAGATCCCAAACTACAGGGACTGTTATTGTAATTCGCCCTTATTTTTATTTCAAATTTTTTCTGTGGTTTTATTTATCTTTCTTTCTTTCCTGCTGCTCGTCCACCAGCAGAGCGCAGGTTACATCTCACAAAATATAACAGATTCTGTCTCATATAATTTGTATTTAGAACTATTTTATTACATTCTAACTAGGTCTATCTAAAATGTAAAAATCTTCAACCAACATAACTTGCACAAAGTGGCCACTCTCAATGGCAATTCCAACAGCCAATCACAACCTATGAAGCATGGACACGGCAAAATGGAAGCTGTGGCGGTGTCAGATACGGGGACACGCCGAGGACACGTACGGGACACGCTATTTGACGTGTCCCTTTAATTATTTTATTTTTTTGGCATGGGACATGTCGGGGACACGACGGCACAAAGCAAGAGGACATGGCAAGGGGAAAAAAACAGAAAACCCTAATTCAAAGAAAGAGGAGAAGAAGAGAGCTAAATAAAAAATCAGAAGAAGAAAAAGAGAGAAGAGAAGTGCGAACCTGTTCATCTCCATCTCGATCGATCGATCTCCATCTCGATCTCCATCGATCTCTATCTCCAGTTGATCTTTCATCACTTCTTGACCTGGTACGTCTCTATTCCCTCTCTTCTCTGGCTTGTCTCTCTCTCTTCTCCTTTGTCTGGCTCGCCTCGCCTCGCCTCGCCTCGTTTCTCTCTCTCTCTCTCTCTCTCTCGTCTTCTTTCATCCTTTCGTCTGCCTCTCTTTTTTCTCCCCCCCCCCTCTCTCTCTCTCTCTCAAACTGAAATGTTTCGTTGACTCAAAAGATAATATAATATACTATATATATATATATATATTAATAGTTATTATATAACATATAAACATAGTTGTCAAATCGGGATTCGTATCGTGAATCGAAATGGCCTCGTACCGAATCGCGAATCGAATCGAATCGTGAATCGTAAAGATTCGGTCACTTTTTCTAAATTACTTAAAAACATATATCTACACATTTAAATGTTAAATATATCTTATGAATATAAAATATTTAGACTTAAATCAACAAAAAATGTTTTTTTGAATGATAATCACGTAATTTAATAGGTAAGAAGTTAACAAAGGTTCCTATATAAAATCACCATCTTATCTTTTTTTTTTTTTTAGATATTTTTTATCAACCATTCTTAATAAAGATAATAACCAAATAGACAAACTATTAATTTTTAAAGTAACAATAGTTAACAACAATATTGATATTTGGACAATAAGAATATATATTTTTTTAAGTAAGAGTGAGCAAATAATAAGAAAGAATTATTTATGATATTTTATTTTAAAGCCTAAAACATTTTAAAAGGTATAACTGACCTCATACATATAATATTCAATTTAATAAAATAGTAATAGATAATTCATAGTGTAACTTTAATGTTAAATATCTTTAGAAGATATATTACAATTTTTTGAAGGGGAAAAAAATAAGAAGAAAGGTTAAAAATATGTTAGGCTTGACTGAATCTGATTGGATCCTATAAAAAACTCCATGATTACTAAAATAACAAAAAATCATATATATATGTTGGTTATTTTGGTATTAAATGCTATTAGAAGTTGTATTATGTCATTTTCACTAAAAAGATGGAAAAAATGAGTCGAAAATATGTCGAACACAATAATTTTAAAAATTGCATGAATCGTAAAAAGTGAATCGAATCGTGAATCGATTGTGAATCGTGCGATTCACTAGAGATTCACTTCCAAAATAGATTCACTCATAGATTCGTATCGATTTTGCAAAAATTGCGTATCGAATCGCGAATCGAATCGCGAATCGTAAGATTCTGATAACAGAGCTTTCAAGTAATGCCCCTGACGCTCATCCTTATGGCCACACAGACACACATTAAAATGAAAAATTGAGTCAATCAACCACATCTGCGGAGGAAGGTGCACACAACAGGTGGATAATTAAAGTACATTATTTAAAAAATATAATAAATAAATAAAATAATTAATGTGTATTAAAATAAAAATATTTATAAAAATATTAAAAAAATTGCCATGTCCCCTGCCCTTGCCGTGTCCGGATTTTTTAGAAATTATCGTGTCCTGTGTCCGTGTTCGTGTCCCTATTCGTATGCGTGTCCATGATTCATAGATCACAACAAGTTGCATTCTAACAATTTCATTTAGAGGCTCATACTTTCCATTTCACTTGGAACTTATTTCGTCCCATTTTCTTTTCCATTCTCTTGTCTGTTTCATTTGAGAACAAGCCTCTTCAAGGACCATTGTTCTAGCCTAGGTAAGATCCTAGCTTCCAACTTAGATGCATTTGTGATGTTCTTAATCAAAATCCAAATCCTACTCTAGGATCCAGATCAGATAAATTGATAGAAGGCATTGCAACCCGAACCAACTCCATCCTCATATGAGGTCAATTTAAAGGTTCTTAACATAGTACCTTTTGTCTATCATTGAATGTTTGACAGAGTCACCAACTAGGTCTTGTTCTTTGCTTACTCGATAGAACTCTCATAAATTTTCTTAGCATGCAAGAACTGAAACTAAAAATAATAGTTATTTCTTAATATATGTAGAAGACTCTCAAGTACGATGCCAATAATCTAAGCACTCATCAAGGTCATGCTTGTTCAATTCATTACCATTCATTTCAACACGCTCCAAAATGTTAATTCTTTAAACGCAATGTTTCCAACCAATTTTGGCTCCAATCATTTCCTATTGGTTGTAATTTAGAACAAAGGACAATTTTCAAAGAAGTCACTTGAATACTATAATATAAAAATCCGATTGTCTCAATCAAAGGAACAATCAAAAGTTTGCAGTGCAATTCCCACAGCACACATACATAATTGCCCAAAAATTTTAATTTCTTCACAATCTGCCCGCCAAGCATCTCCACTGAATGATGCCCAAAGTGTACAAAGTAATAATTACAGGACAGGACAACCCATAAACAAAAAAGTGAAGCTTAAGGTGATCTTCATACTGACATATCAACAATTTCTGCAGCTCATCATGTCAACCTCAGCAAAATCCACATATCCTAGAAGAGGCAGCTGATCTAAATCATGCTAAGATGGAAACAGGCTATTGATTCATACTTATACATATACAATATGAAGAGGCCTCATGCAAGCAAATTTTTGGGCTTCTTGGTGGACCCAAATCCAGCCAACCACCCTCCTTACTAATCTATTTATTTGATTCCAATACTAAAACTCAACAAGTATCGAGGACATGAACTCCAGAATTTGAGTTTTTTTTTTTTTTTTTCAAATGCAACTTTTTTCAAGGCCATGTATTATATGATAACATGATTATTCCTACTTCAGCAGGCAATGTGGAACCAAATATAATTAGCAATAATGTAACAATTATTGCAGATGAATGAGGAGTCATGTAACTCCAAGAGAAAAATTCACAACTTAAAGTTATACTATAAGCATCAAAATATCAGCAGTCACTTGTATAGAATCATTACAAAAGAATTTAAAACCATAGACAATATAGAGCCATTACACAAAAATTTGAAACCATAAACACCCAATAACTACCAGACCAATAAGTTAGAAAAATCCGTAGCCTCAAATCAACTCAACAATTTGTTAATCAGCTCAAAAACACTCATGCGGTGTTTGCATTCTCCAGATTTAAATGGTAATATAATTCAATGATCTACTAAATAATAGCTAATGATTAAGAATTACCATAATGGAAACAATAATCAAAATTAAAATTTCAAGGTTTCATGAATTAACAAACTAATTCTATATCATCAGCCCTGTATTGCCAATTCCTGAATGATGCTCTCTCACCTTAAAATCCATCAGAAACCAAGTGAATCCTTTAAAAACTAGATAAACAGTAGTAGTAAAATAACACTCATATTTACATATACATGAAAAAAATCTAACTGCTAACATAGGTGCTGTGATTGCACGGTCTAATGAAGATTGAAGATTGAAGAATGATATTATGTAGAAATGATTTTTTATTCATCAAGAAGTTAGGGAATATGATCTTATAATTGAAAGGAAAGGCATATAAATGACAACCAAACCTATTTGATAAATCAGGTAATCAACCAAACAATAACTCAGTAGAACATAAAACTCAAGTACCAAGTCAACAAAGGTACGTGGGTATAACCTAGCAAGACGAGTGTATAACAATTGCTTGGCCAATAGGTCACATTTCTCCACAGTGGGTGGCTCCTGAATGTACTGCTTGTTCTGCTCCATCATCTGCCTGTAGTATGCAGTTCCATGCTTCGCCAAAAATTGTGAAGCTTGACCTGCCTTGGATTGCAATTGGTGCAACTTTGACGCCATCAGTGCCCCAAATTACACCTATATATGGTTAATTAATCCATCAAAAGATTAGTGCGGCGTTTACAAAACAAGCAACCATATACAAACTGTTGAGTCATTTCCAGCAAAATATAGTTGTAATCTAAGAAGCACGGAGATGGATACAAGTGCGGATACGGAACAAGACGATTTAAAAAAAAAAGAGACACAGATACAGCGGAGACACGGCAATAAAATATGTTTTCATATATTTTTATTTGCTATCTAGATTAATATTACATCCACAAACAATCAATATTAACAAAAACTAACTGTAATCCTATATTTAAAAAAAAATTAAATTAACACTTACAGTTATATCTTTTTCTATGGATAACCTATTAAGTATTTAAATATAAGAAAAAAAAAAGTAAACATTCAACCTTCATCAAAAGTAGTAAATAAAATGAGAGAAAAGACAATTTGGCATGTCTATAGTGTGTCCCCGAAGTGTCTCGGTGTATCCCCTGAAAATATATTAATTAAACTATAAGAACAGTACAAATGTCCTCCTTTTAGAGGAGATGGAAGTGACGTTGGGAGGGTCAAAACATACGGGTTCATGAATAAAGTGATATTCATTAACAATTGAGCGAATCTTGGTATAATTAACCCAAACTTTAATCACCTGGTTCACAATCCACATGCAGAAAACACCACATTTTCACTGATTAAGCAGTAGACAACTACATCTATTCTAATTTTGTAAAAGCCCTCAATCTATTTCATCTAAAAACCCAAAAATGAATATTTTCCAGTAGTGCTTAGAAACTGAGACAATCAATCATCAATCAACAAAACAAAAACAAATAACACGAGCATCAACAAATCAAAACCCAACCGCTTACGGATCACCACTACAACAATCCATCAAAAACAAACACAAACCAACATCGATTGAGATGAAAGAAACACGAGATCTGAGAAGAAGGAAAAAAAACCACTAATCGAAACCCTAATCTGGAAAAGCAGTGAAGCTACGGAGAATCAGAGTGAATATGAAGCTGAATTTACCTTCTCTGTGTGTGAGGTCTCAGAAAGTCGAGAGAATGAGATCGTTGTCGCTTTGCTGCTCTGATCTCACACTGGCTGGTTTTGACTTGGGGCAATTTCGGTAATAAGATTTTACACTTTCTTTGGGAGTGGCTGAGTGGGCAAGGGCCTTGTTAGTATAGCCCATATGGCCCAACTTTTGGTAATTGATGGACGGCCCAATTTTAGAACTCAGGCCCAACTCCCCGGCCCATCTACAACTAAAACAGTGGAGGCAAAAAATAAATAAAATTTAATTACATTAAGATCAATTAACTGTTAACGAATATCATTTTATCTTCTTATTTATAAACTCGTGCATATTGATCTTTCAACTATGAAAATCGTACAAATATACACTTTTTTGAGGTGGTTTAGAGGGGTGAAAGTGATACATTTTTATTGTTGAAAAAATCAAAATGTGCAAATTCATAAATGAAAGGGTAAAGTAATATTCATTGATAATTGAGGCAGTTGTGGTGTAAATATTAATAATAAATAAATAAAAAGGAGTAAATATTAATAATAAATAAATAAAAAGGAGTAATGTTACGATCCCATAAATTTATTATTATTATTTTTTTTTTTCAGGATTTCATCAAGAAACATCTCAACTTGTGGTCAAGATTTATTCAAGTTATAAACCCAACAATATACTAATTAAATTCCAATTATTTTTGCAATCAAGTATAAGATTACTGAGTTCGTGCTGATCATTGATTTAGTCCAATAGCAGATTCTTTAGGACCAAGGCATCAATTTCAATTTCGATTGGTGTGAGTTTACAGTCTAAAACTAGTTTGAAACCATCTCTTAGAGCCCAAATTTCAAGGGTTAGGTTGGGCACTCTTCCAATGTTGCAATAGAAACCCGCAATTCAATTGCCATCGTTGTCTTTGAAACTGGCTTAAGATCGTAATCTTACACCAATTGAAATCGAAATTGATGCCTTAGTCCTGAAGACTCTACTGTTGGACTAGGGTAGAAGATTTTCTTTGACTGCCCTCTCCACCTAGTTATATTTTTAAGGGGTTGTTTGGGATGATCTAAATAAGTGTACTTTTTGTCTTTTTACAAAAAGATGTACAGAAAAGTAGAGAGGTGATGTGATGAAAAAAAATAAAAAAATAGATTATTTTAATGTTGTCAAACTTGGCCTAAATCTCGTCTGGATGATGCCAAGAGAACTTTGTACTACTAATTTCTTAAAATTTTATTTACCAAAAAAAAAAATTCCCAACCACATGTTTTTGTTCTAGGCTAATTCTGGGACCTATATTTTTGGGTTCCTAGCTTTTTGGAAAAAGATTGAGCACAATGACAACTTATCAGGTGATATTACTATCTAATAACATATGAGTGGGTTCAGCAATTGGTTTTTTAAGTAAATTTTTTTGTTCATTTGTTTTTGTCTTTAATAAACCTCTTTTTTTTTTATAAGAAAAATAGAAGCTTTTATTTTTAGGTCCTACTAGCCTATATGTAGCTGAAATGCAAAAATAAATAAATAAATAAAAAGTTTACTAAAGTAAAAAAAAAAATTGAAAATTAATTTATTTGTCTTTTTTTTTTTTTTTATCTTTAGCGAACACTTTAGTAATTGAATTATGTTTGATCAAGAATTTAAACATAAGTAGTGAGGTTTACAATATATATATAGTTTTTTTATTGGTTGGTCAATGGTGACATGGTATTTCCATTACACTAATGGTAAGTTTGAAAAGTTTAAAAATTAATTAAAAGGTTAAAAAGACATCAAAAAAGTTAAAAAGTTAAAGAATTTTACAAAAAAGTTAAAAGATTCTATTTTCTTTTTATTTTATTTTATTTATTTATTTGTAAAAAATTAAAAAATTTTCCTAACATATTAATTTTTTTTTTATTTCATATTTTAACTAAAAAATTAAAAAATTATTAAAATAATTTATTCTCAAACCAACTCTAATTCCTCCAAGATTAGTCCAAGTTGTCTATCATACTAGAGCCCAAAAAATTTGGTGGAAGTAGCTTATAAAATCTTGGCTAAGCTATTATCAAATAGGCTAAAGAAGGTATTACTAGAGGTGATCAGTGAAGTGCAAACAACTTTTATGAATATCTTTGATGGTATTATGATTCAAATGAAGTAGTTGATTGGTGGAAGATGACAAAGAAAAAAGGAGTTATATTGAAGCTGGACTTTGAGAAGGCTTGTGATTCAGTTAATTGAGAGTACTTATTCTCCATGATATCTAGCTTTGGATTAGATGGTTGGGTTGGATGAAGACTTGTGTTACAAGATTATCTGTATTTGTTAATGGATCCCTTACTGATGAGTTTAGTCCAATGAAAGGATTAAGACGAGGTGATTCCCTATCCCAATTTCTTCAACATTGTAGTAGAAGGGCTTAATATGCTGCTTGAAAGAGCAAAACAATCAGGTATAATCAAAGGTGTTGTTATAGGTACAACAGGACTGAGATTGTCACATCTGCAATTCGCAGATGATACAATTATATTTTGTGAAGCAGCAGAGAAGGAGATTACAAATGTTAAAAGAATCCTAAGATGTTTTGAAGTAATATCTGGCTTAAAGACAAATTTTCATAAGAGTGTGGCATGTGAAATGGGGATAAGTGAAGAAGTTGTTAGACATATATTTCTTCTGACAATAACGAATTTACAGAACATTAAAAACAGAACAAATTAAAATATATATATATATATATATATGTCACATCTGCAATTCGCAGATGATACAATTATATTTTGTGAAGCAGCAGAGAAGGAGATTACAAATGTTAAAAGAATCCTAAGATGTTTTGAAGTAATATCTGGCTTAAAGACAAATTTTCATAAGAGTGTGGCATGTGAAATGGGGATAAGTGAAGAAGTCACTTAGATTTTTGCAAGTCATTTAAATTGCTTGTGTCAGCAGCTGCCTGTCAAATATTTGAGATTATCACTTGGGGCAAATCCTAGAAGAAGAAAGACATGGTAACCTGTGGTGGACAAAATCAAGACAAAGCTGGCAACGTAGAAAAGGAGACTGCTCTCTTTTGCAGGTAGGTTGACATTAATCAAATATGTGTTGTTTAGTTTACCTTGTTATGATATGTCTATATTCAAAATTCCTAAGAGAATGGCTAGAGAAGTTGATAAGATTCAGGCTACCTTTTTATGGGGTAGTTCATAATTGAAAAGAAAGGTGCATCTGGTCAACTGGAAGGACATTACAAAGAGGAAAGAGCAAGGAGGTCTAGGCATTGGTTTGACTAAGGAAACAAATCACTATCTGCTAACAAAGTGGTGGTAGAGGTATGGTATTGAAGATGAAGCATTGTGGAATTACTTATCAAAAAAAAAAAAAAAAAGCATTGTGGAAAAAAGTAATTATAAGCAAATATGGAGCAGTGGGGGCAGGTGGTTACCAGATATGGAAGCAAGTGGTAAGGAGTCATATGTATGGAAAGATATATTGGTTATTGCTAGCTCTAACCCTAATCTGTTTAGCTTCTTTGTGTCTAATACAAAGATTGTGATTGGGAATGGGTGTAGAATTAGCTTTTGGTTGGATAAGTGCTTGATGGATGTGGTTCTAAATGAGGAGCTTCCCAGATTGTTCAGACTTTCAACTACAAAAGAAGGAACTGTATGCCCATTTTCCAGGAGGGAACCAAAAAATATGAATCATGTACTCCTGTTATGCCTTGAGATCTGGAAGGCATGGTCAAGATTACTACATTAGTAGGAAATTCAATGGGTGTCACTTGCAACTGTCGCAGGATTAATTAGCTGGTGGTTAGGAACCAAATTTAGAAAACTATTACCCAAGCTTGGAAACTTGTACCCTTGGCCATGTTGTGGTCAATGTAGAAATTAAGAAATGAGTGTGCATTCAAGGCTTGTCAACCTAATATGGTGGAGTTAGTTGAAATTGTGAAGGTAAGGGTGCCACTTTAGGCTAAGTCTAATCTGAAGGATATGCATTATTTAGTGCATGAATTAGTACAGTGTTTGAGCCAAGTTAGGCATTGTCTAGCAGGGGGTGGCTAAATTGAAAGATAGGGTGTTTTTTTCTCGATGTGGCTGGGCTAATACTTCTTCTTTTTTTCCTTTTCTTTGTGTTGGTTTCTCACAAACTTGAGTAGGTGCTATCATATTGTTTAGTTTTTGTAATTGACAATCCCATTGGACAAAACTCCATTCAATTGTATTTTTATTTGCTCTATTATATCTGTGAGGTTATGAGAGTTTAAGTGCAAATCCAACTTGAGTTATGCCTATTATTGAACAGAAGTACACGTCGGCCTATGAAACCATTGTCGCGATAGATGAGGCTTCGGATAAGAACCCCTGGTACTACGATATTTGGAATTAAGGTGATTGATTGATCAACAAATTACGTATTGACAAACATCAAGGTTGTTTTTGTTCTTTTATTCATAAAGAGAGAGGGGTGTTCTTCGGTGGATTTCGAGGAATTTGGGCCTAAAACTTTAGTGGATTCCGGAGTGGCTCGTTGTCGTGGATTCGTCATCGACGTTGTGAATTCAATGTTTGGCAAAGCAATTCTAAGGTGAAGACGACGGTGGTGGAAGAGGCATATCGGGTTCGGTTCAATTTGGGCATGGATTCGCTAGATAATTAAGGGTTTTTGTGTGTAATTCTTTTCTATCGTCTTAATAGATTGTTTTGTAGCTTTGACCCATGATTTTTTTATCATAATTAGAGGAGTCCAATTGTAGTTTTTTTTTCACGTTAAATCGTAATGTCGATTTGTTATTGTTTGTTTGATTGTAATTGTTTTTCATTGTTTAAAATTAAATCATAATCACAAATCAATATCTCGTGAAATTTTTAGAAATCTCACATATGATTGGGTGTGCTCCTCAGTGCCTACCTAGTTCGAATCATTGGGTCTACTATGATGTTTTTTGCACTTTTCCCTCTCTTTCTATTGATGTAATTCCTTTGTTATTATTAGCTATTCATTAATAAAGATTATTTTTTTGTTGATAAAAAAAAAATGTTGTATCAAATTATGAATGAACCTTAAATGTCCTTGTATCCTAAAATCTTACCATGAATAAATTATATATCAACAACCGTAAGTGCTTTTAGA